TTATAAAGAATATCTCTTTAGGTTTGAGACTTTAGTCTTTGCAACTTTAGGGATCTTATCTATACTCAAACAGTTTGTAACATTCCAAAGAGAAAGGAAAACTTGAAATCGCATCATATGACCCCTTTAAAACTTTAGGGTCAGACGTCGTTTTTTGAAAGAAAATTAATACTTTTATTTAGAAGGATGAATTCAACTAATCAAATGTGACAGTAAAGATATTTATAATGTTTAAAAAAATCCGTTCCCCTTTGAGTGAGCTTGTTTAAAAATCACCCAACACAAAATAAATATATTAGGGGTGTGCCGATTAAAATGATGGCCGATACTGATAAGCCAATTATTATTTTTATGTTACAGTCAATAACTAAAAGCGGTTCTATTAAACTATTATATTAACATTAATATTCTACACTAAATTACTCTACATTAACCAAATAAAATGCCTAAAACTTCACAACAGACATTATACTGACATTCATTTTGAGATTTGCTAAAGATTTTAATAATTATTAGATTGTTAGTGTTTTAAATATTCATTTCAAGTGAGTGTTACACTCTTAAAAATAAAGGTGCTTCATGATGCCATAGAAGAACCATTTTGTCTAAATGGTTCCATAAAGAACCTTTAACATCTGAAGTTACTTTGGGGCGAAAGAAGGTTCTTCAGATTACAAAAAGGTAATAAAGAGATGGTTCTTTAAAGAACCTTTGACTGAATGGTTCTTTGTGGAACCAAAATTGGTTCTTCTATGGCATTGCTTGAAGAACCTGTTGAAGCACCTTTATTTTTAAGAGTGTAGATGACAGCAAAAGTAAAAATATGTAGAAATATGCATGAACAAGCTATGAACAAATAGTACCTGGCATTGTTTCCTCTTACTTCCTGTCACCAAACACCTGGATGGAACCCTTATTACATGGTGAGAGAAACAACATGCCATTTGATCATCAGTGAGCTGAGGTGGGTTGGAGTATGATCGTGCTTCAAGGTACTAGAATATCTAACACCATTTGCTTAAAATGTTGAGGCTTGGCATGATTGATTTTAACTTTCGTGGTCTTGGAATAAACTCAAACGCAATCCAGCATCACTATGCCTTCCATGTTTAGATGGGCAATGATTCAAGCAAGAACTGCATAATGGCTTTCAGTTGTAGTATTGCTTTAACCAAACTTGATTATATTAGTATGGACTAATGGCATCCAAGTACTTAAAGAGATAGTTCACTCAAATCATCATTTTGAAGAATGTTGGTAACCAAATAGTTGCTGGTAGCCACTGACTTCCATAGTATGGAAAAAAAAAATACTAATGGAAGTCTACGGGGACCAGAAACTGTTTGGTTACCAACATTCTTCAAAATATCTTCTTTTGTGTTTAGCAAAAGAAAGAAATGTATACAGTTTTGGAACAACTTGATGGTGGGTAAATGACAGAATTTTTATATTTCGGACTATAAAAACTCTAATCTAATATAAACCACACATCAGGCTTATACCATTGTGAATAGAAATAGCAGTCTAGGGGCATCTAGATCAGACTGAAAGGGCACTTTAGCGTCTGTGATTAAAGGGCCCCCTAGCAAACTAGCTGTGCTAGCGGACGAAAACTGCCCTTGTTTTTCTACCAGATAAATATCAACACATGGAAGTTGAAGGTCAATAGAACAGGACAGAATCAGTTTATCCGTTACTTCACAACATATGTATTTTTGATATTTCCTTTTAGGGTTTACGGATACAACCAACACATTTTGAGTGTTAGCAGTAAACAGACTTAAGTAATTAAATGAAATATTGGCACATTAAAAAAAAAATACTAAATTTCATCTTTTGCAAGCAGGCACATTCAAATGTGCAACCATAAACCAATCTCTCTGCATCAAGCTGCTGAAAGCAGAACTTGCAGTCTGACAGACACCTGAAGAACAAAGCCCGGAGAAGTGTGATGAGTGATCAGTGAGCCAATGATTTCTCCCATCATCACTGCCACGCATCTGCCACGCTCTGCCTGCTCTAGGGCCTTTGATGTGGGCTCAGATTACCAGCTTGGAGGGTTTTTTCCCTGCCCGTAGCCTGGTGTCACTGGGCTAGACACCCCCTATCCCAACTCCAGTTCCTTTTCACCACCCACTCACACTGCTGTCTGTACCCTCTCACGAGGTTCAGAACAGTACCTGGCTTTGTTTCCTCTCACTTCCTGTCACCAAACACCTGGATGGAACCCTTATTACATGGTGAGAGAAACAACATGCCATTTGATCATCAGTGAGCTGAGGTGGGTTGGAGTATGATCGTGCTTCAAGGTACTAGAATATCTAACATTTGATTTTAACTTTCGTGGTCTTGGAATAAACTCAAACGCAATCCAGCATCACCATGCCTTCCATGTTTAGATGGGCAATGATTCAAGCAAGAACTGCATAATGGCTTTCAGTTGTAGTATTGCTTTCTTAACCAAACTTGATTATATTAGTATGGACTAATGGCATACAAGTACTTAAAGAGATAGTTCACTCAAAAATCATCATTTTGAAGAATGTTGGTAACCAAATAGTTGCTGGTAGCCACTGACTTCCATAGTATGGAAAAAAAATACTATGGAAGTCTACGGGGACCAGAAACTGTTTGGTTACCAACATTCTTCAAAATGATGACTTCAAAATGATGGAGCAAAAGAAAGAAATTTATACAGTTTTGGAACAACTTGATGGTGGGTAAATGACAGAATTTTTATATTTCGGACTATAAAAACTCTAATCTAATATAAACCCCACATCAGGCTTATACCATTGTGAATAGAAATAGCAGTCTAGGGGCACCTAGATCAGACTGAATGGGCACTTTAGCGTCTGTGATTAAAGGGCCCCCTAGCAAACTAGCTGTGCTAGCTGACGAAAACTGCCCTTGTTTTTCTATCAGATAAATATCAACACATGGAAGTTGAAGGTCAATAGAACAGGACAGAATCAGTTTATCCGTTACTTCACAACTTATGTATTTTTGATATTTCCTTTTAGGGTTTACTGATACAACCAACACATTTTGAGTGTTAGCAGTAAACAGACTTAAGTAATAATACTTAATGAGTTTGCTCATTTAAATTAAGAAAACGTAGCCGTCATCCCATGCACCCCATTCTAAAGAGACATGGAACACTGCCTCCAGCACACACTTCCTTGTGTCCTTTGAAGTGGGACAGAGAGGAAAAAGGGTGAAAGAAAGGATTCTTCCACCCTTTCCAAGCAAACACAGACTCCTTTGAACCCTCTGAGACCAAAACCTTTCAAGTGTCCCTGGCTTTACACTGCAGGATCCTGCCATGAAAAAACAGTGTCCTAATTAGACCTGAAACACACTGGAGACAGAAAGCGTACACATGTCCTCATTTAATGTCAAAGACTGATTCAGTGAGAATACATTCTGTGAGAAATAAATGAGATTTGGATTTATGATGCCAATGTATTCTTATAATCCCATGTTTTGGAGACATTTCGTGTGATGTACACTCTCATGGGTGGTACCCTTTTAAAAAGTTATTCAGATGTATTAATATGCATCATTTAGAGGCAAGTGAGGTACAAAGATGTACCTTTTAGCTTTTGCACCTTTCGATAGTGCCCCAGTGACAGCTTTGTACCTTTTTGTCTGATAGCGTACAACAGATGTGAACTGGTGGTGACATGCATTCATCCGCCATCTAACTTGTTACTAAAACATTTGTCACTTAGTAACAGTAAGCAAACCCACATGTATAATTAAAAGAAAGCAAGTACTCTTTCTTCATTTTTGCATACATTTTCAGCTTGCACAATAGACTTTAGTAAGGTTATTTGCCATATTGAGTTTATGTGACAGAAAACAAGGCTGTGAGGGATAGACTTGCAGTCTTTACAGTGGCATGCACTGCATAAATGTCCTAAATCATGGGTACATTTAAAAAAAATGAGTTTTTTTGTTTTCTTAAACGTTAGAATAAAAACTTAAATTTTTATAAAATAATTTTTGCCAATTGAACAACTGGCATGTTGGTAAACAAATGGTAAAAAAAAAAAAAAGTTGGTTTCATTAATTGTCAAATTAAACATGACACTACCCGGACCGATGTCTATAGTTTCATCATCTGTGATTACTAACAAATATGAACAGGTTGCCAGTATGCTTGTTCTCTGGGATCAAACCCATGATCATTGTGTTGCTAGCACCATGCTCAACCAACTGAACTTCAAAAACTACTAGCAAATAATGTTACATTTTTTGCAATATCACAACTTGTTTATTGCCTTTATCACCCTAATGTGCCATTCTTTAAGGAAAATTTATCAAACCATTTAAAGCATTTTAAACCCTGCTCTTTTCTTTTATACATCTTTAGTGATATATGGTCTTCATCAAGCTACTCCAAGTAGGTGGGTCTATATGTCTTTAAAATGTTAAAAACAAACGGCCTACACAAACACAAAAATCCCCCCCCCCCCCCCCCCCCCCCCTTTTCCCATCACAGCCTCCCTCTGTTTTCAAAACCAATAACAGATGTGTGGTGGGGCTGCGCTCAAAGACCCTGCTGTTCTGGCTGCCGGCCATATGTATTTCACACAGTGATGAAGGCTCCAGGCTCCACTGAGAGAATGAGAGCAAAGGAAAAAGAGGGAAGAGACCCAACACCATTTAAACACAATGCTTAAAATAACAGTGTAATGTGGAGAAAACTGTTCAGTGCCTGGTTGTTTTCAAAAACTGAGTAGCAACTGGAAGTCTAAAGTGTGGAAATGAGGAAGCCAATTTATGTCAATTTGTGTTGACTCACATTTACATTTCTTCACTTCACTTCAAATAGTGCAAGCTAGGTATACACATTTTCAGATCCCAGGGAATCAAACCCATGACTATATGTATACTCTACTTAAACAATAGGAATACTTGCAGCTTGCCCATTATAATAATTTTTTTTTTTAATTCTTAAACTATTGGTACTTGAGAGTTTGACACCAGATTTTAGGTCATAAAAATACAGATAAACCTAATGTACTGGCTACATAATGTACAAATTAAAGGGTTTTATAGCAACATTGTTTATTTTAATAAGCAAAACTCACACTACATAATGCTAAGCAGATCAGTAGTCCATTTCATAAGCATTGCAATAAGAATACAGTATGCAATGACTACAAATGTATTTACTGTTGCTACATTGTTTTTAATGAGTAAGCTATATAATCTAGTAATGTTTCATAATGGCTTAAAAATTAAGATGAAGTGTTAATTTGTGCTCATCAACCAGCTAACACTTAAATATCCACTCATATAGATGTGGTGTAGAGTGGCAGTTAACTTAAATCTGCCCTGAACATTAAGAATTGTCACCTTTACCTGCTTGTTTCTGTTCACTTCACCAGTACAGTCAGCCTCCTTGAAAACATCTCCTATTACAACACAAATGTCCATTTAATAACATTTTCTTATGTAACAGCTTTATGGATAAGAAAGTTATACATGCATCACCTTACCCTCTGGATTCTCTCTCCGTTTACAGGCTAGAAAAAAACCGAGAAAACAAGAATGAGAATAAAGCCGCTTGATAAATTGTAGCGTCTGGCATGATATTCGCAAAGTGTCTTACCAGGTTTCGATTGCAGTTTTCCCATGTTGATTTCACTTATGGAAAGAACTAACGAGCTGTCATTTCAGAAACAACCGTGTCATCTTCTGTGCCATAAATGAAGTGGAGCCGGATATGCATGTTTCCATTCAAGTCTGTCCATATTATTGCCGGAGACTGAAAGAAGTTTGGGAAACTCTTCCGTGGGAATTTGCTTCACGCTCGCTCTCTCTCTCGCTGTGGAGGAACCGCAACTCGACTTACCCTCCCCTTTGACGATGTGCACCTCCTTCAGTTTTAACCCACTTTATTTATTCGACAGCCTGGTAAAATCTGCATGAGAATTCTTATCCAAACATTAGACCAGGGGTGCCCAAACTCGGTCCTGGGGGCCAGTGTCCTGCAGAGTTTAGCTCCAACTTTCCTCAACACACCTGCCTTTAAGTTTCTAGTATGCCTAGTGAGAGCTTGATTATCTGGTTCAGGTGTGTTTAATTGGGGTTGGAGCTAAACTCTTCTGGACACCGGCCCTCCAGGACCGAGTTTGGACACCCCTGTATTAGACCATATACCTAAAACTACATTTTCGGTTTATTTATTTCTCATTTCTCCTCTTCAGAGAGATTCACTTGAATCTCGCAATTTTCAGCAAGCTCTTTAAAATGACCGATTGTGTTTCAAATTAAACACAACATAATCTTTTCAGACCAAATTTATATATATATAAAGAAAATATATATATATATATATATATATATATATATATATATTAGCTTTGAGACACCTAAATGCAAAAAAAAATGTTTTTAAATTTTTTTTTTACTTTACTGCATTTCGTTATACAAAAGAACAGTTGCAATGCTTTTCATCAATCAAACAGCCATTACATTGTAGCGCCATCTGTTGATGTCTTGAGATATAACGTATCACGAAATAGAAAGGAGATCTGTTTTCTCTCTCCCTCTCAAAAATGATCACGATAATCACAATAACTTTGCCACTATAAGCTACAGGTGCATCTCAATAAATTAGAATGTCGTGGAAAAGTTCATTTATTTCAGTAATTCAACTCAAATTGTGAAACTCGTGTATTAAATAAATTAAATGCACACAGACTGAAGTAGTTTAAGTCTTTGGTTCTTTTAATTGTGATGATTTTGGCTCACATTTAACAAAAACCCACCAGTTCACTATCTCAACAAATTAGAATACTTCTTAAGACCAATAAAAAAAGCATTTTTAGTGAATTGTTGGCCTTCTGGAAAGTATGTTCATTTACTGTACATGTACTCAATACTTGGTAGGGGCTCCTTTTGCTTTAAGTACTGCCTCAATTCGGCGTGGTATGGAGGTGATCAGTTTGTGGCACTGCTGAGGTGGTATGGAAGCCCAGGTTTCTTTGACAGTGGCCTTCAGCTCATCTGCATTTTTTGGTCTCTTGTTTCTCATTTTCCTCTTGACAATACTGTTCAGGTCTGGTGAGTTTGCTGGCCAGTTAAGCACACCAACACCATGGTCATTTAACCAACTTTTGGTGCTTTTGGCAGTGTGGGCAGGTGCCAAATCCTTCTGGAGAATTAAATCAGCATCTTCAAAAAGCTGGTCAGCAGAAGGAAGCATGAAGTGCTCCAAAATTTCTTGGTAAACGGGTGCAGTGACGTTGGTTTTCAAAAAACACAATGGACCAACACCAGCAGATGACATTGCAGCCCAAATCATCACAGACTATGAAAACTTAACACTGGACTTCAAGCAACTTGGGCTATAAGCTTCTCCACCCTTCCTCCAGACTCTAGGACCTTGGTTTCCAAATGAAATACAAAACTTGCTCTCATCTGAAAAGAGGACTTTGGACCACTGGGCAACAGTCCAGTTCTTCTTCTCCTTAGCCCAGGTAGGACGCCTCTGACGTTGTCTGTGGTTCAAGAGTGGTTTAACAAGAGGAAACAACAACTGTAGCCAAATTCCTTGACATCTGTGTGGTGGGTCTTGATGCCTTGACCCCAGCCAACATGTGAACTTACCTCTCACTCAAATCAAATGAAAAGTTTTAACAAGAAACACGAATAAAAACGGAACAGACTGTGGTAGAGGATTTATTGTCTGTCTAGTGTGAAATCAGGAAATTCTGCACATGAACATTAAACCACTGAAAGAAAAATTGAATCTGATGAATCTTAAACTGTATTGAATCATTCACTTTCTGCTGCTGTACCAGTTATAAACAAGGTTATTTAAAAAAACAAAAAGGTAAAAAATTCAGTTCATAATAAACGTGCTATCATATGAAACATTTAAACATTAAACACGTTTTATTATTTTATAGGAGTTGGGAAGAGTCATTGCTCTTTCAGCTTTTAGTTTGCACCGTTTTTTTATTTGAAATGTGTAGTAAGTTAAAAGTGAAGCAGGCATTTTGGAGACCCTGATCTTTATTCAGAGGAGCAGTAGTTGCAGTTGTGCTTGTTTATCAGCAAGTGCTTCAGTTTTGGATCATTCCTGTAGCATGCAAGCAGCAACCTTTTTTCTCTTTGCTCCTTCTCATTCTGTATTTTCTTCTCCACCATTTTCTTGGGCTTATACTCTACCCAGGTGAACAGAACAAGTGCCACTTTTCTTTTGCTCATTTGCTCTGCCTGGATGTTCACATTTTGCTGGGTCTCATTCTTGGAACCTTCAGGAGAGCTTACACAGAGCAGCTTCATCATGTGCTCATCCATGTGCTTCTTTTTCTGAGAAGGGATATCCGAATGGCCTTGGAGTCTCCCACTTCACTGGGGTGATCTTCCTCACATCCCTGGACCTCCACCACTTCACTCGCCCACACTTCCTCCCGCACCTCGTTTTCACTCTCCAACCAAGCAACCATTTTTCTTGGATTCATTTCAGCCTCCAGCGGTCGGGGGCGTTCAGACTTGAGTAAGTCACAGGCCCGGATGGTCTTCCCTGTGTACTCCACATACTCGTTCTCCTCATCCTCTATGTCAATGAGCATGAGTTGTGGAGGCGGCTCAAACAGAGAAGAAGTGGATGGCTGAGGCTTCACCAGGCTGGGAGGACACATTTGAGTTGGTGAACAATGCAGATCAACAACTTCATCAGGTGAAGGAGTGGGGCTTGGAGGAACCACCAGTCGTTTGGGAGGATGCACTTGGGAGTGTCGGAGAGAAAAGAGTTCATCATGTGCTGGAGTGGGACGTGGAGGAACAGCCAACGGTTTGGGAGGATCCACTTGAAGAGGAGAACATGGCAGGGACACTTCCTCAGGTGCAAGAGCTGGCTTTTGAGGCCACATAGTCGGTTTGATCACTGGCGGCAGGGGCTTGAAGCGAGCGGCTGTTAGAGTGAGATGTTCAGAGACACTTTGAAGTTCTCCCTCTATTGGCTTCAAGAAGGAAGATCTCACTAGAGGACTGACTAGAGTTTGCTGAGGTTTGACCTCCACAAGAAGTGGAGTTGGCTCAGTGGTCTTTTGTTCCTTCACTTTTCTCTTCTTTTTCTTTTCTCCAGCCTCTCTATGCTCACTTCCTCCCTCCACCAACTTTTCTAGACTCTGCATCTTTCTGAATTTGGCAGACTTTCTTTTTTTCTGATGCACATTTCCTCTCTCCATCTTTTCAAGGCTGAGTGTCTCTCTCGGTTCTTCAGCCTTGTTTTGATGACTTCCTCATTTATTTCTCATTCTTCACCTTTCTTTTTACCTCTCTTTCCAGCGCCCATTCTTGCGCTACACACTGCTGTGCCCTCTGAGGTGTCTCCCTTCTGTGCAAAAAGTGAGCAAAATGCTCAAAAAGTTGTCTATAAATACACTGCTGAACAGTGCCATTGTGGACACTGAATGCTGCAAGTGAATTTAGTATTTGTCGTTAATATCTCCAGAAAGTCACGAAAGTATCTTTCGATCTTTTCACTCCTAACACACCAACAGAAGACAAGAGTCAGAGCAGCAGTTTAGAGCTGCCAGAACGGAATCTCCATTATGATGTCACAACAGTGTGCTGAACCCTGAGAACTGTATGTGTATGTTAGCTGCTCACATAGTTCCACATTCAAACATACACAGTCACACTAGTGGCACCAAAAATGTAATACTGACTGTTTCCAAACAAGTTTCCCAAACACTCCTCCTGGCCTTGAATATTAAACCAAGATAGTAAAAAAATTAGACATTTCAATTAATGTAGACCAAGAGAAGCTATAGGCCTATCATGGCACATTGTACAGAAACATTAAAAAAAGAGCAGCATTGAAATGTCTATGATTTGTGATCTTATAGTTAAAGGGTTAGTTCACCCAAAAATGAAAATTACCCCATGATTTACTTACCCTCAAGCCATCCTAGATGTATATGGCTTTCTTCTTTTAGACGAATACAATCAGTTTTATTGAAATAATGGTCAGGTCAATCCATGCTTTATAATGGGAGTCCAAAATTTAAAGTCTAAAAAATTGCACCCATCCATTATAAAAGAAATGGATTAATAAAGTGGGGGTAATAAAGGCCTTCAGAAAAATATCCATATTTACAACTTTATAAACCTTAATCTCTAACTTCCGCTAACTTTCGTATGTGCGTTCACGAGAGAATGGCGTCCAGCAGATGATGTACCTCACCTTACTCGGTTCTAAAAAAAATAAAAAATAAAAAATCCAAGAGTAGAAATTGAGCATTTTAAAATAAAATTCCGCTATTCTTATTTTCAAAAAAAATCGGTCAAGAAAAAAAAAACACTGGAGGGCGCTGTTTGTCATATTTTGAGAAAGCAAGTACTGTCTATTGCATTAGATTTTTTTCATGAACCACAACAAAACAGGACTGCACTTTAAACTTTTAATCCGAGCAAACCTTTACCAATACTTTCGGTTTATTGGCTACACATCATACAAACTGGGAATGTATCAAGTATAGTCTATGAAAGTGCAAATGACAAAGCAAGGTTAATGGTCCCATTTCCAAAAAAAAAAAAAAAAGGAAGATATAAAATACCACCACCATAAAAACATCAGTTAAAAAAAAAAAAAAAAATTGTAAAAACTGGTCATTACTACACAAGATGATTTAATCGAAGGTCAAAAATGTAAAAACTGACCACCAAAATTTTCTGAAAAAAAAACAAACATCAACTAAATACACCAACTGTAATCACTAACTCCACATCATCTATTCTTTCTTTCCGCTTATATCACAATGACACCTTTCTAGAGCGATAGACCTTTCTAACTGTAATGTTGTAATAGACAATCAAAACATGGAATCTGTTCAGTGTAATACAAAACATGAGGCTGTTGTCAACATGAACCAAAAACTATCCAGTCTGAAAAAAGAAACATACTTTTTAGCAAGTGAAGGTAGAAATTGAATTGTTTAGCAATTCATGAGCATGTAAGGTTGATTGCATTTGATTGACACAGCAAACACTAACATAATTAGGTAACATGTATATAAATAAGAAAAAGTACAAAAAGGCACACTGATGAGCACAGTAGAATTAAAAAAAAAGGGGGAAAAAAAGAAGAAAAAAACTCTTCCCCACATCTAAGACTTTCCAAAAAATTATGTATCAGAAATAGAAATCAAGCTACTTATGACTGTTAGATTAATATCCTGGTACAGTGTTAAGAGTTACATTTTAAATGCATTGCTTTTTTTTGTACAAACTAAGAGATGATGTGGTAACCGATAGCATGTCACAGATGCCATCTATAAATCTTAAGTTACATTTAACCTGGAATATTCTTTGAAAACCCGCTCCATTACTGCAGAGTATATTTCGTCAGAGTGGGATGTGATTGGCATTCTGCAAAGGTTTAATAATTGTTTAAAGGGATAGTTAACCCAAAAATTAAAATTCTGTCATTAATTACTCACCCTCATGTTGTTCCAAACCCTTAAGACCTTCGTTCATCTTCGGAACACAAATTAAGATATTTTTGATGGAATCTGAGAGCTGTCTGTCCCTCCCATAGACAGCAATGTAATTACCACGATCAAGGTCCAGAAACGTAGCAAGGAGATTGGTAAAATAATCCATGTGATATCAGGGGTTCAACCGTAATTTTATGAAGCTACAAGAATACTTTGTGTGCAAAAGAAGAAGAAATAACGACTTTATTCAACAATTCGTCTCCTCCGCGTCACCCTAGCATCATTTTAGAGAGTATCCACTGAACGTAAATTGCGTACGCTGTTTCGTGTCAGCTGGCTGCGCCACGCGGATACGTTGTTTTCGTAAAAAATCAAAACGTAAACAGCGTATCCGCGTGACACAGCTGACACAAAACAGCATATGCCGTTTACGTTCAGTGGATACTCTCTAAAATGGCGCTAGGGTGACGCGAAGAATGACAGAATTTTCATTTTTGGGTGAACTATCCCTTTAACAGATGTGTCAGTTTGGCCACATATGCCGTATATGAGAATGCCTTTCTATGTATATGACTGAGTTCGGCACACAAACGAAATAAGGAAAAGTACTGTTGTAATCACTCTATTGCTTCAGAAGACCTGTGAAGTGTCTTTATGCATATATGCGTTAGCAATGAGCCCAAATGAAATACACAACACAGGATAGTCAGAGGTATTGTGTAGTAGTCACAATAGATAAGGTAATAAATGTCATAATATTTTCAGGAGTGTAAATTTACATGAAGTGTAACGCTTTGGAAGCGAACAAGGTCTTCTGCAGGACAATCTGTTTTTAAAGTTTTTAACAAGCAGTAACCGTTCGAAGATTTCAAAACACTCCTCATTTATAACATGAGATGTGCGTTGTGCACTCTGCACTTGCATTAAATGTGACTTACATTAAATGGTAATGTTGCCCAGTCTCATAAGGCTGTCTCCCAGCTCCAGAAGCTCAGAGCTGCTCATGGAAGCTCGGGGGGGATCCCCAGTATGGGGGGCAGAATCCAGTCTAGAGGGCAGAGAGGAACCACTGGCACCTACAGAGGCATCGTTACTGAGCACATCCTGAGGCTCAGGGTCCAAGGCCAGCCCGGACTCCTGTAGGGACAGCTGAATAGCCAACAAAATATTGGGGTCATCCTCATCCAGAGACCCAAGTGCCTGAGGAGATAAAAAGGGTTCAAATTCTCAATACATGCTCTTTGACTCGTTTTTGAGTGAAGGAACTGGTTCGTTTGTTTTAATAAATTATTACTTTTATTCAGCAAAAATGCATTAAAAAGTGACCTTAAGACATTAATAATGTTACCTAATATTTCCATTTCAAATAAATGCTACTTTTTAGCCTTCAATTAATCAAATAATTCCGAAATAAATGCATCACAGCTTCTATAAAAATATTAGCGAGCACAACTGTTTTTAGCATTGATAAGAAATGTTTCAGCATGTCAGAATGATTTCTGAAGGATCATGTGACACTAGAGACCAAAGTAATGGCTGCTGAAAATTCAGCTTTGCCATAACAGGAATAAAATACATTTGAAAATATATTCTAATAGAAAACAGCTATTTAAATTGTAGCAACATTTCACAATACTGTTTTAACATGCTTTTGATCAAATAAATGCAGCCTTGGTGAGCATAAGAAGCTTCTTTCAAAAACATTCAAAAAATCCTACCAACCCCAAATTTTGGCAGTGTATGTTTTTAAGTGTTGGTTCATGTTTAAATGGCATATAAAATGTTTTCTGGTTTATGAAAATGCATGAACTATTTTGTTTAATTTTGCATTTTTGGTTGACTAAATTTAGATGCCATTTTATAGTCAATTTGACAAATGAAAACATGAAATGGTAACCAGATTATTTTAATCAAAATACAAAAATATGACCAAAACAAATAATTGTGCAAAAATGAACACATCACACGTTAGAAAATCTTTACATATAAACAGTATATTCACCATGGAGATCCCATGTCTTTGTGTACTGCCTCCCTCGTGTGTTTCTGTAGACACAAGTTGGACATACATACATATCTTAGTAAACTTAGTAACACTGACATAAAGCAGCTCTTTTAGTTATTTCTATCCTAACATTATGTGGGGTCATTATTGCCATCAGGAGCTGTACCTGAAGTGTTGTCACTTGAGTCATGCGGTTCAGGGGTGTTACTGCGGAGGCTGTGCAGTCTGAGTAGGTCTCCTCTACGCCGCTGCCTGTGTCTCCGTCTGTACTGGAACTCTGAGTATTCCTGCAGGAACCATCATCCTCAGTTTAATTACAATAATGCATGGTTTCTTGTCAAGGAGCAGTTATTAAGTAATAGACAGATCCTTAAAAAAAATGGACAGACTCTCACAGGAATACTGATTAACTTTAATATTACAAGCAATGAATAAAATGCCTATTTGAAAACTGTGGCCTGTGTCTCTAATCCATACTACTAATATTGATTAAAATAAAATACAGAGACCCTACAACATATTTGGACACTTACATCAAACTTGAAAATTAATTTCTTGGAATTATACAACAAAACGTCTAAACATGGTTTTAGTGAAAATGTAGTAGAGCATGTTCATGGTTAATACAATGAACTACACCGGTGGTCACTTGTATGAATTTACAACAGTTTAGAATGCTGATGTTAGTTTATACTTAATATGTAATTATCCATTGCAATAGAATTTATACTTTTTAAGTGTGATTGAGTTTACGAATCCTTTTTGAGGCCACTGTATTATATAAAAAATTTAAAAAAGCCAATATTATAATAGTTTTGCAGTTGTTAGAAAGACTGAATACAGATCGTTCACACAGGCAAACTGAATGCATGACAAAGCAACCTCCAACAGTGTCCACATTTCAAGAACAGTGAAGTTGACCACAGGACAGGAATTCTGGTTTATTTAAGCATTTGAGTTGAGTAACGGCATAGTCCTTTATCTGGAATATTCCAGGAGATGACCAGCCTTAACAGCTAAACACAGGATTACATTTATTTTAACAGCATAATATCTATAATGTCAGAGGACATATGAATGACTATAAAATTAATGCTGCACCAAATTTTGAAGAATATTTTGTTATTTTGTCTTCAGCTGTACCTGCGGCTGGCCTCCTGGATTGTAATTACTCTCACGCTGTGCATTTGATCCCCGTACTGGGTGATTCCTCACCATCTTTGGACACAGAATGAGATTCAGTGACTGCTAGTACTTTACAGCAACACACAACTCTCTTACATTATTACAAGGACATCCCAGAGGATCAGAGGGCATTAACAGTTTTGTGAGCTACAACTCTGGCTGGCTGTGTGAGCTTTGCAATAGCAGAGGTTAGTTCAAATGGAAGAAAAATGTAAACAATGCAACAGTGATGCAGTAATACCTCAGGAGAGGCAAATCCCAGATACTCCCAGTCCCACGTCCCACCAGCAAAACTGCAAAAGTGGAAAAAAGTACTGTGGCTGTAGGGTTTTATTTCTGTTTGTATAATATATTTTGGACATGATGCCAAGGTAATATCATGTTTTTGTGGACATTAACCAAATTAATATAATAATACTATTACAGTGCAAGTTACAAAGTTGTTAAGTTTTTTTAATATAAAATAAAAACAATAAATAATTCCTTTACTATAGTATTAATACCATTTAATATACTATATAATAATAAAAATAATACATTTATTTTACAAAACAGAAAAATTATAATATTTATGGCGTTAATTTCTTAATTTCTTTGCTTTCAAACGTTAAACCATCGAGCTTATAAAAATGGTGTAAATGGCAGCACAAGGATTTACCTGTGGCGGGGAGCCTCGGGAGAATCATTTGGAGCGACACCTCGAGCCACAGAGGCCAAGAACTCCCGTCTCTTCTGCTGCACCAGATACGTGGCACTGATGATCTTATGGCGAGGGGTGCGGAGGTAAGGCCTGTTCACCTTCTGAGCAAGATCTTCGGTGACCATCTCTAAATCAGTCTGCACATGTTGGAGAAAGACGAAACAAAACAGCATGTTGTGCAAGAGAAGGTTCAACAGAAACAAATCATTGCTTCTCTTAAGTGGTGAACAGATATCAATCTCAGTACCTGCATAAGTTCAAATATTTCTTTCTTTGTGCTTTTGGGCTCCAAGAAGAAACTATACGGATAAGAGCACTTAAGGATGCGTCGGGTCTTGAGAAGTTCATGCACACCATCCTCAATGAAGGTGGTGTCAGGTGGAGCTCCTTCCCCTTGAAGAAACAGATACATTGCCATTTTTACATATTTAGGCCTATTATTCAAAATACACCACACATCTGTTTATAAGAACATACTACATCACCCTTAAAACTAAAGGCACGTATAGTGCATGTGAAATATGTTCTACTCACTTCCAATGAAAGCTTTGCTCAGTTGTTCCATCTTTTCTTTGGCTGTTTTCAGGAGTCGTTCTTCTAACTAATTTAAAAGAAGTACCTTTGATGAATGATTGTCAACAAACAGTGAGCCAATCACTCAACTGGAAAGTTTTAAAGAAATTCATTACATACATATTCCTACCTGGTAACTGTGCTCATGATTCTTGTATCGTGTGTAATAATGCATAAAACGGTCAAGTTCCTGAAAACTCTTGTGCTTTTTTTCTACCTGCGAGGACACAAACATAAAAGCAAGAGAGACTTCCTGATGGAAATTCAAGCTCATAACTACATATAAACTCGGAACAAAAGCACAGAACCGGTTTTGTTACTTTTTACACATGAGAAATATGAGCCTGGAAAGTAAACGTTTGGTGTTTTGAGACTTTCCTGCCCTTTATTCACTAGCACCATTCACAGAAGTCCACAAACAAATCACAAAAGATCCAAGTCAATGGCTGTCATGTGTGTAACGAGTACCTCCACAGTCATCTCCTTGGACTGTTCCTCCACCTGTTGGATGACCTCGTAGCGTGTGCAGCGATAGTATCCTCCAGTAGAGGAGCTGTGTTTCTTCCATTCCTCAAGACAAATCCAGCAGAAATCATACTTGCACTACAGAGAGATCCAGCAAAACAGAACTCATCAAACAGGATCAAGCACTAAGCAGCTATAAAGTTGATTTAGAGATTGTTCTGAATTATACAATCAACCCTGACGGTCTTATAAACCAGCAACAGATTTTAATCTGTGTTAGTAATCAACAAAGTAGTGTACTAAAGCAACCATGGGCCAGATAGTACGAGATATTTTATTTCACAATATAAATAGCCATCCAGGCACGAGTGTGCATTCAACATTCGTTTTTGTGAGCGTGTGACACTGCCTTTCCTCCACGTGCTGGTGGCATGAATAGCTTCCCCTGCCCTGCGCCTGTCACTCAAAACCTTAGTTAAGCCTTCATTAAGAAAATAACAGTGAGGCTATGGCCTCAGCACTGTCTTTGTTCAAACACCTGCCTCTGACGTCAAAAGGCCGTTTTGCATCACACACACATCTTGTGTCAGGGTCAAACACACTCATATGATATCTGTAAGAGATTTTATAATTCCCACTTTACATTACATTAGACATTATAGAACAAATAGTATGTCAATGTCTGTGCATATGGACAAGCACATTATGACAGAAGTTAGTTATTTTAAGTCTAATAACATCTCAAAAAACATCAGCTTAATCTTTTCAGTCTGTCGAGTTTCTTTTAGCTTAGAATCTAAAAGTCAAAATTGCCAAATTTGATAATTGGCTAAATTTGAATTTCTTTTATCTGTTAAATAAAATAATATACCAGTCCTTTAATTTGATTGACCAAGCAGATATTGCTGATAGTGCTGATATTTCTTATAACAATATTATTTCTTATAAATAAAATAGCTGGTCATGTTATGTTTAAAATGCAATTTACTCTACATTAATTGAGAAATTGTATTAAAAATGTAAAAAGTTAAAAAATAATATTGCAATCACTATTATGCTGTTGTACTGAATATCACAAAATTATTCTTAAAAAAATCTTTATTTCCTTTCAATTAACTGATTAAATTGATGTTTTTAACAATAATGGATAGCATGCTGTGTTTTTATATAGTTAAAAAGAAATGCACTCTTAGGGTAAAAATGTCCCTGATTTTTAATTCCAGGAGCCAAATATTGGTCCTTAATAAATGTGCCATTCATGTGCGATTACCAACTTCTCCGTTGATAGAATACATTTTCCAACATCTGATCTTATTAGTCGTCAATGTATCAGCTGATTATCATCAGACAGTCACAATTTAGCGGGCTGACATTCGAATGGATGTGAATGTTTTTGTTCAGGTACTCCATTCTGTACTGACCTTCGCGCACTGCATGTGATTACAGCCTTCATTTTTCTGGATGGGGGATTTGCAGTTGGCACAAGGTTTAGAGTTGCTGAGTAGCCACAGGCAGTTGGCAGCATCTTCATAGGCTTCACTCACACCAGCCACTGCTCAGAGACAGAGTGGAGCTCAATATTAAAACCTACAGCAGCAGGTTATATATCATGAACATCTATTAAGTAAAGGTGCAGGTCAAATGATCATGCACAGTAAAGATTAAATGCATGGCCAGGAAGAATAATATATTCAGAATTTTAAAAATGTGAAAAGTCTGGAGCGCCTACATTCTTCAGGCTTCATTTCAGACACTTTCTGCAGCCACATCTTCCATGTCTCACAGTCACAGGGTTCATGAGCATCCCCAAGACACTCCCTGAGAAGAAACCCAAGAGATAAACATTTACAGTGCTTTGATGGCAATTTCGAGGATGAACATTAGGATTATCCCATCGAAATCAAAAGAAACAATATATTGTATTTTAAAGAAAACAACATTCATTTTTAAGACCATTAAGGGTTTTTATATCCACCAGACCCGAGCTCTCATTCCTATGCACAATTTAGAGGTAAATTAGGTCAAATTTTTGTACCTTACGGTACCGCCCCAGAGATAGCTTTGTGCCTATTTTCTGAGAGTGTAAATAAAGGAAACAGCTGGTTAACGTACCAGCAGAAGAGATGGCCTTTGCCACAGTCTACAGCAGGGGCTTTGAGCAATGGGAAGCTCAGAGGGTCAGAGGCTCCAGGGCCTGGCCTAGACAGTCGTACGGCTCTTTCACATCTGGCTACGGGGCACCAGCGAATGGCAGGATTATTATCCACAAAAGCCTGGTGACGAAAAAAGAAATGTGGTGAAACTTGCTCTTTGTTTTGGATGACGTAAATGACCCAATATCCAAAACCAATTTTAATCTGTAAATCATACAAATCAAATCAACGTGATATTTATCTAACAATCAAACATTTGACTTCTGAGCATGTGTTTACAAAAGCTTTTTTTCCTCAAACAAGTATCGGCATAAACTCAACCAACAGCAGGATGCTGTCAGCATTTTGATTCAAAGCCAATGTCAGACAGTCTATGATAAGAAAAATAAAATAGCAGCTTTGAAATGGTTTCTGGTGCTTTGTGAACTGCAATTGTACCTTAATGTCAAACTGCAGGTAGCGCTTATCCATCTCTCTGGAGACAACACTTTCAATGACCTCCACAGGAACCAGCTGGAAGCAGTCATAAGCAGGGCAAAAGATGTTATGTGCTTCCCCTTCTTGGATCTTCAGATTCAAAAACCTGACATCCAGACAAACAGTGTTCAAAGACTATGAATATATGGATCATAAACAACCTGCAATATAGTGTTTTTTTTTAGTGGAGGAGAATTTTTTCTATTCATCCAAAGGATTTTAAAAATGTCAACTACAAAAAAACAAGTTTTGAAGCGAAAAACAAACAAAAACATTTTTTCTTTGAAGAAAATAACTACTCGTCACAAAGCATTGCAAATGGCATGATTAAATAGGAAATGGTCAAATATATATCTAAAACAGTGTCAGTGATTATGAGTATAAAACAATATTTGACGTTTATTGCTATTCTGTTAATAAACTATTCCAGCATGTACACTACAGTTGAAAGGTTTGGGGTCTGTAATATTGTTTTAGGTTTCTGAAGTCTCTTATGCTCACCAAGGCTGCATTTATGTGAACAAAAAACAGTAATATCTGTTAAATATTATTATCATTTAAAAACTTTTCTAGAAGCTATCTTAACATTTTAAATGTAATTTATTACTGTTATGGCAACACTGAATTTCCCAGTCTTCATGCCACATGTTGGGTCAGAAAATATTCGGATATGCTGATTTGATGCTCTAGAAATATTTTTGTTGTGCTGCATAATTTTTTTGTGGAATCCATGATATATTTTGTTCAGGATTCTTTGATGAATAGAAAGTTGAAAACAACCGTGTTTATTTCAATTTGTCACTATTGATCAATTTAATCCATTCTTGTTAAATAAATGTATTCATTTTTATTTTAATCTTACTGACAACAAACGCTGTAGTGCAAGTAGTTACCTGTAATGGATACATTATTAAGAACATCTGATATGATCTGAACTTGTGATTTAAACAAAACTTCTATTCCTTACCCTTCCCAGCATGCCCTGCAGAACTCGTGCCCACAAGACATATCCACAGGGTCCTCAAACACCGATATGGTGCACATGCAAATCCCACACTACATGGGTACAAAAACATTGAACAGACTGTGTCAATATTCTTTTCAATATTTGTACAATGAATGATAAAGAATGTGGATCATAACGTGATGCATGGAGATGAATCTAACCAGGGCAAGGCCATCAGTAGGAGACAGGCTGATCTCATCAGGGGAGGTGACAGAGGAGCGAGTCGTTCTGGGAGTTCTAGGTGAAGGCAGAGTATCCCAAGCATTGTAGCCACTCGGTGGGGGAGTTGGCATCTGAACACCTGAGCGCTGGCAGCAGTCCTCTGCATTAGACATCCAGTCTTCTAGAAGTTTTTCCCTGTCCCAGTCTTTTCAGTAAAAAGAAGGTTTAAACCGGGCCATTGGTTCAAATAGCTGTGTATAAAACATCAGATATTCTGATAGGCTTTGAAAGTGCCACGGTCAATCAGAAGCAAGCAAAGTGTGGACAGACAAGTTGCTTGGAGCAGGATCCTGGCAGCATAACACCTGTTTAGGGCATGCGGCAGTTGTCAGCTATATAATGTTCTGAGAGAATTTGCGATTTGCCATTTTAATTTTCAAAAAAATATTATATTGAATCCACTTCTGTCTCTTGGAATGTATGAATGTGAAATTGGTGCCAACTACTTCAGTAAAGATTAAGCATGGAATGTTCTGGTTTGCCCAGTAATAAAGTCGAGCCAAACCCTTTTGCTTGTAATATCTTCAAGAACGAAGGGTCTTGGATATTGGCCAAATTTGGCATATTTCTTTAATTGATCAAATGGATCAGCTGGCACAATGACAGCCCTCTGCTATATATTACCTTTTCATCGCTAATGTTTTACAAATACGTACTGCAGCAAAACTATGGTAGAGGGATCAGACGGTACTTATAGCATGTAGTCCAAAGTGATTCACAGAATATTATGAGCACAGTAAAACCATTAAGTCAGAGACTTTTCATTTGTGTTCACAAAATCTAAAAGATTTTACCCAACTACCTCAGGATTCACTTGTGATGCCAATTACTGTAAAAAAAATTGCTGCATACCAACCCAGTGATATCATTGGATGAGTGGAATTGTTTGACTTCAAAAGTTGCTGCAGTAAATTCATACCGTGAGCTCGCAGCAGGGCCTCGGCCGTGAAGAGAGGAGCCTGCAGCATATCCGCCGTCTCCACTATCAACATGTCTTTCAACCGACGCAGGTCTTGCAGTTTCAATCCCTCATATGGCTGGAGAGAAAAAGAAAAGAGAATAACAGGTTTGGGAGAGAGAAGGATAAAGATGAGAAGTGTGAAGGAAAGAGGGTGTGAGAGGAGAAGTGATGGAAAGAGAACTAATAAAGCTTTTCCTTTTAAACTTCTATATTGCTCAGCCTGTCTGGAACAGCAAAACGAAGCAATCATGAGTCTGCTGCTGGCAGTTGGGTCTATCCTCATTCAACTGGTGCCCCATCCTTTGACAGTACATTACCAAGTTATGATTTATCTTGAGCTCACATCCTCAGCGCATAGCACACAGCTATGACTAAAGAAATAACGGTGTACTCGCACACGCACAGTGACCGTTAGTTTCTTTGTTTGTAAGGCTGCAAACTTCTGCCTATATTATATATTGGGCAATAAATTGATTAACAAATGTAACAAACAGAACAATAAATTGAAGTTAATTACAAGATATGCTGATATATATATATATATAACAAATTGTACAAAATATATTGAAAATTGTATATACTGTACATATACACAGTATCATTCAAAGGTTTGGGGTTGGTAAGAATTTTTTTTTTTGGAAAGATTTGGTGTTCTGGAAACATTTCTTATTACCAATGTACAAAACAGTTGTGATGATAATATTTTCAGGAATCTTTGATTAAAAGAAAGTTCAAAAGAACAACATTTATTTGAATTGGAAATCTTTTGTAACATTATAAATGTATCGTCACTTTGGACCAATTTTATGCATTCTTGCTGAATAAAAGTGTTCAAAAAAAAAATATTTATATATATATATATACAGTTTTAACACAGCCGTACCTCTCGTCGGTCAAGGGCGGCATACTCTGCTTCTATCTCCTGAGCTCCGGCATCCTGAGAGAAAACCATCTGAGACTCCAGACTGAGCGCCAGTTCCTTGTGATGCCGTTTCTCCGCACAGTCACACGGCGTCTCCCTGTCCTCGTTCTCCACGAATAAATCTGCATTGTTCTTCACTAACAACTGCAAACACAAGACTAAAACTTAGTGGCTAGTGGCTTCGCTGAGTGATCAATCCTAGTGTACTAAAATTAAACCAGAAAAGTAATCTTGCATGGTCATGGGAGTTTGGCCACAGTCTAATAGAACTGAAACTGAACTGAGGCTTTGCATCAATCAACTGAAAATACTGTAAACACATACACTTGGAGGCCTGAACTATGTAAGAAAAGAACAATCTTGTTACCTCGACACAGTTCTTCATGCCAGCCGCTGCCGCGTAGTGCAGGCAGGTGCTCTTTTTGCTGTCGGTGGCATTGACGTTGGCTCTCTCATACTCGCCCTGGTCCAGCTTGGCTCCGGTCCACTGCAGGATCATCTGGAGGCACTCAGCCCGCTTCTGTTCATCCTCCTGGGGGCGGCTGATCCGCGGCTGCAGTGCCCCCTCACTCAGCAGGATCTGTGGGCCCATGCAAAGCAGGTGCAACGCAGTCTCATTGTGAACGTTGCACTTGTTGGGGTTGCCATCTTTGGAGAAAAGGAAAGACCTGTAGGAAAGGAACTAGAGTAAGTACAAACTGTAAATCAGAAAAAAATCGGAATTACATTTAAGAATACAATTTACAACAGCAAAACACAAACAGTAGATGCAGCGAAACTAAATGCAAAAATACTGTACCCTAACAGTCTAGTTTTTGTACATATCAATTTTGTGCAAATTATTTTAATTCAGACTTGATTCTTTAATGAATCCTGTGTACTGATCTGTAAACAGCTTCATCTTATTTATTGAAAATAGCCGCATAAAAACAACAAATCATTTAAAAAAACAGGCATCACTATAGCTTACATAAGCTAATTTTGCTCAACACAAAGGCAATATCTATCTCCTTGAATTAGATCATAATTTGAAATATTTATATGCTATAGCTATAGAATATTCCAACATTTTTAAGATTTTATTAGATCTTGTGACTTTTTCAGGCCTGATATTTGATTTTTCCAGAATAATTTTTTTGCTTGTCCAACTTGTCCAGTCTATTTTTGAAGTAAGAGCAGGCACGGATATTTGTAACTTGAATATGTGAGGCTTCCAGTTATTTTAGCTGTACAAAAACAATCCATTACGCTACTTGATATTGCAAACAGGTATTTGTTATTATGCTATTTTAATTTACTATTGTAATCATAAACACACCGGTTTTACCATTTACTGCACTCTGTTGTTCTTCTATGTATCTACCTATAGTAGCTAAGGAATCAGAAGTACATTCACAGGAAATAACATACTTCTGCATTGAACAATGAGGTGGAAAGAATGACGTCATATCCTGTTATCGAAATTCATTGATTTTGCATGCTCAGAACCTTAAGGGTGCCATACAATGAACAGGAGTTATGCATCATAAAGGTTAACACTTTGTGGATGACGGTATGTTGTATTGCCCAATCAGCATCCAAGACCAGAACTATCACATATATTGATTTTATAAGCCTCTATAAAACACCTCAGGTAGAAGACGACCTTTGTCTTCCTCCCAGTGGTGGCATCTACCAAAATTTCATAACATATGAGAGTGCATTAGGGACATAACAATATTAACAATGAAAATGTCATGACACTGTTCAACACAGCTGGAGGCTGCAGCGTCTCCCTACCTGGAGGTAATTAGAAAGACTAATATCATTTTCAGGCGATTACTAGCGGGAGCTTCAAAGTAATTCATAACAGGTTTGAAATACACCATAGAACGGACTTAGGGAAATGTACAACCTTGTGAGCTTTAAGAGTGAATTTAGTGATTGCATCCAGCAGGCTTTAATGTCTTTTAGTGGAAATGACTCAGCGAGCTGTTCTGGGAAGTCTGTGATGTGAATCTGTCAATGGGTGTTTATTAGTTAATGAAACTGAAAACAACAGCTCTAACTCCCTGCATTCCCCTAACCCTGCTCTCCAACTGAAACTGCACCTGGGAGGCCTGAACGACTGGTTGAACTACCACAAATTGACACAGACACCTGTTAACTATGCGACTGTTAAATCTAGTGAGATGTCACAATAGAACCTTATTGCAATAATGACATAAACACATCATGAAATGCAAAGCCAAGCATTTAAGCTGGAACGACACCAATATCCAAAGATAATGTCTAGACAAGCAGGTGACAGACATCTTGTGCTTTGTTCTGCTGTATGCTCACTAATGAAAGTGTGATCATTATAAAAACAAGACCAAACAAAGGGTAAACATACATTAAGCCAAATGCCAGAGATACACACATTTGGCCTCAAAAATTCTGGGTGTGGTCTAAACTGGCAGGCTGTTTTTCCAAGAATCAGTAGCAGCCAAAAAGTGAACCAGAAGTCCAGTTACAAAATACAGAGCTCTGGTATTAGCTTTTAAATACAGAACTACTTCAAACTGGCCGTTCTAGCTTGGGTAGTGGTTCGAGCTAAGGTGTTTGCAGTTTTGTCAATATCTTTGTTTTCAAACTAGGATACATGTAGAAGCATTGTTTGGCCTTGCAAGTTCTAATTTGACTGGCTGAATTTGAAAGCCTGCCTGGAAACAAAGTTGTGCTCACAAGGTACCGGATTCATACTAGTACTTTCAAGAAAGGAGTAATAACTATTAGACTAATTTTGCCGGGTTAATGGCATCAAACCATTAAAATAAAGGCTGTGAAATCATTGAGGTTACTGGTTGTGTGCTCCAATGAGCTGTAAAATGAAACGAGGAAAGTGAAAAGGAAAGAGGAGGCACAGAGAGTTCTCAGTAGCTAGCTGTCCTAACTGGTAATTACCAACCATTTTCTCAGAGGGGTGCTTTAACTACACTAAGTCAGAGTTGGATTCAAGGCTCCAAGTGGTCTTGACTCAAATACCAAGCAATGGAATTCAACAACCATGCAAAAATAACCTTGCATCGCACAAAAACACTACAGGCTCCACATAAGCTTCCCGTTCCATGCATCTTTGCTTTAGGTCCTGTCTGTTAGGGGTCAACATGGGAATGGTTATTCAGTGTGTCTTGTTCTCCCTGAAGCAACAACCCTCTACAAATGCTGCTATGCTGTTTGGGTTTTCTCATTACATGAATAGAAGTCTAACAGTATTATCCCTCTTTGTTAGGCTACATATTGATATTAAATGGGTTCATATGTTTTGTGCTGACACATACAACATCGTTCAAAAGTTTGGGGTCGGTAATATTTTTAAAATGTTTTTGAAAGAAGTTTCTTACGTTTACCAAGGCTGCATTTATTTGATCAAAAATAATTATCTGTATATATTTATATATATATATATATATAATATGCAAATTATTATTACAATTTAAAATAGCTGTTTTCTATTTTAATATATTTTAAAACGTGCTTTATTCCTGTGATGGCAACATTGAATTTTCTTGAAATTTCTTGTCATTCCTGCAGTCTTCAGTGTCACATGATCCATCAGAAAGCATTCTATTATGCTGATTTAGTGCTCAAGAAACATGTATTATTATAATCAATGTTGAAAACAGCTGTATTGCTTAATATTTTTGTGAAAACCGTGGTAAATTATTTCAAGATTTTCAATGAATGGAAAGTTCAAAAGAACAGTGTCTATTTGAAGCAGAAATCTTATGCATCATTATAAATGTTTTTACAGCCACTTTTAATCAATTGAATGCATTCTTGTTGAATAAAAGTATTAATTTCTTATATAAAAAAAATAAATAAAAATCTTACTGACCACAAACTTTGTAACAGTCGTGTATAATGACTACAAGCACCTAATAAAAAAAAATCTAATTCGTCATTTATTTAGCTTCACATAATCATGAATAAAATTAAATACTTATTTTAATTTTAACTATAATTTAATAACTAATAATAATAATATACATTTTAATAATAAGTTTTTCTAAAATGTTAAGGATCTGCTTTAAATAGTGTCACTCTTACATTAAAATTTAAGGTGAACAATCAAAACTCAACCAGTAGAGGCTAATGCTTGTAATTCAGTGCCCAATCATTCACAGGCTCATACCTGATGAGGCGAGACATGGCATGGCGTGAGGCGTAGTGCAGGGGTGTGTTGTGTTGATAGGGCTCCCCATAAGATGCATTGGGCTCCAGAGCCTCTTTAAATTGAGGGTTGTTCTCATAGAGCTGGCAGGCCAGGCCTTCGTCTCCACTGATAAGTGCTTTACGAAACTTGGTGGCGGTATTCCCCATGGCAGGAGCTGTAGTGGGAGCCGCAGAGCGGCCCACATTCAGTTTTCAGCACTCAGCCAGCATGAGAGTGGATGGGTGGCATACCACAAGTCCTGTAAACACATCAACACAATCACATTGTCTGGGATCTGTTATTCACTGTTATATCATGGGATGGAAAATCAATATGGAAAATCAACAGCACCATATTGCAATCTCTATTTAAAAATTTGACATCAGGCAATCAGCTTTTGCTCTGAATGTGATACATAGTAGGGCTGCACGATTAATCGAATGCGAGTTCACTGACAAGTTACGCAAAAAAAATTTAAAAAAAATTTAATAAATCGCAGACGATTTTATTGCGCGATTATGAAATCGAAGAAATCGTTTGTGATAATGACAGCTGTTTATATAGCTTCTCAGTGAACTATGGCCCTGTGAAGTAAATGCTGCTCCATCAGAAAGCATGTGAAAATACCACATTTAATAACATATTTTTACTCCAAACTCACTTCATAACGTCAGTCGAGTGTTTGAAATAAATCCTTCAGTGAGATGATGTGGCTTCTTACACAGAATAAGGCACACAACATTTCATAGTATTTAAGCAGTGATAAAGGCATTTACTTTATACTTTAGTTTAATGAAAATTATAATAATAAGAACTCAGATAAACTGTGCCGTTCGTTGAATCAATGAAAGCAGTTGAATCTTCTGTTTATTCAGGGGCAGCCATAGGCCTTTTTCTGAGTTTCTTCTGTGAGGGGTATTTGGAGTTTCAGCGGCAGAGCGCCCTCTGGCCTTTGGATGGAGATTTACTGCTGATCACAGAACCGTGCTTCACTGAAAGATGTGCATAACAATCGCAGCTTCTGTCGAATCACGATCTCGATTACATTTCGATTTATCGTGCAGCCCTAATACATAGTCTCAACGCCCATCACTAGTCCATTATCTAGTCCAATCTTGCACAAATAACAACAAATAAGACTGGAGTGCCATTACTGTTTGTCGTGATCAGACCCATCAATAATCTTTCTGGACTCTGAACTTAATCTATAAAGTCTGAACATTTTGTGACAGGTGACCGACATTTGCCTCAAATGTTTTGATATTGCCAAAGTGTTTACACATTTCTGTGAAATCAACCAACAAGTGGCTTAATTAGGGACCATTAAAACAGAATGGTTAAGAATACATTTTTGTGTTTAAAAACAAGACTTAGTAGAAGAGAAGCATTTTTTAGAAGTTGATCTTTTGACTCGAGCACTGATATTTTAGAAAGCTGTGTAATGTATGAGATGCTGCAAAAGATGCCAAGCATGATCACAATTGTCAAATACGTCAAAAAAGTGCATGTTTGCATAGAAAAACAACACAAACATGCTCTGCGTGAACAGTCCTTTGTTTTAGAACAAACTAAACAGTAAATAATTATACAGTGTGGCTTTCAATATAACTCGCATAACTATCTTGTGGAAATCCCTAACGTAACAAAACCAGTCTGCTTCACAAAATGCTCATTTGCATATGACCACATTGTGCAAATAACAATCTTGCACAGGTGTCCTTATCTGATCTTAATGTCTCTTTTTGCTAAAAAAAAAAAAAAGTACAAGTACACTTAGAAAGAAACCTTGTTAAAAGGTTACATGACCTGAGGGCTCCATAATATTTCATCAGCAAAACAATCCAGTATGCATCATGTCATGCTCTAATAAATCTACTTGAGAGGGTTGTGGGAGAGGAGAGGGTGGCAGCAGGTGCACTGATCGGGCATGAGAGAGTGGGAGCTTCGACCCGTTTTTTTTAGGTCATTCTGTCTACTCGTTTCCACATCATTTCACATCTCACTCGCATTCAACAAAAATGTCTGCAGAGTTACATCAGAAACAAAAGCACATTTTAGAACTCAGAAGGATCATTATAAACACACTTTGGGCTTGTGGTCGAACAGCTCATTTTCAGGTGGGAAGTCTGAGAATGCAGAACAGATGAAATAAGAGCAGCACTTGGCAGGCACACAAAGAGAGGGAAACGTTTCTGTTCCACAAGCTTCCCCCACACTAGAGCTCAATCATTAAACATACTGTGTGTCCATTAATAGAAAAACTCCATTTGCATTCATTTTACAGGCAGTGGGCTACTTTTAAACAATGCAGGCTTTGTGTTACAAGATGATCCTCAACTGCCGTTTTCACTTTTAACAATGTCTGAAACTCCAAGCTAATTATTTGCCATGACTGACAACAACAGCATGCACTAATCTGACATTTAAAGTGACAGTACCAAAACGTTATGATTTTTTTTTTGACATGGAAGACAAAAGGTGAAATGTGAAGGACTCAGTGAATATTCACTTTCATTGCATGGTTACACTTTATATCAGGTGGCTTTAACTACATTTACATTTACATTTAGTCATTTAGCAGACGCTTTTATCCAAAGCGACTTACAATTGGGGTTACAAACTACTATGTATATACTGTACTTATTATATACATACATGTTGGTTTATTGTAATTACATTTAAAGTACTTTCATTAAATTAACACTTGTAGTTACACTTGACTTTACCCCTAACAATAACCCAATCCTTATCCCAAAACTGTAACTCTTCATCCTTACTCCTAAAAGCAATCCATACAAACTTGGGGGAATTTTCAGAATTTTCTGTAGTTACACAGCAAATCCATAGTCTAGTACGTATTTAATGTTAGTGGATAGTAGTTAAGGCCTCCTAATATAAAGTGTGACCCATTGCATATTTTCCCCATTTAACAAAAGCGAATGGTGACATGGCTGACATGCTGCACAACATCTCCTTTTTGTGCTCTTCAAAATAAAGAAAGTCATGCGGGTTTGGAACAGCATGAGGGTGTAAAGAATGGCATAATCTTCTCTGAGTGAACTACCCCTTTAACAACACACAAAAAGACAACATGGTGACGAACTAAACACATAAAACAGATTGCATACGCTGTTTACAGATTACTTAGTGGTTTCGAAAAGAAAGCAGTTACTTACAATATTCTAACAGACACAAAAGATTGTTTCATGCAAACCATCCCAATGTATAAACGCTGCATACTAGCTCGGTGAATTACTTATTTGTTTTCAGTGGTGGAGGAGTGGGTTTCTCTCTGGCAGTTACATTTCTCATGAAGCAAAACTGCAACAGTTCTCTAAGAATAAAACTGGACAGAGCATTCAACAAAAGCTCTGAATCTCTGCCTGTAGTTTTTCAAGGAAGCATTTACCGTGTTGACAGCTGATCAGCATCATCAGTTCAGTTCATCATACCGGTCTATGGCTGACAGACCCCTTGCATTTCAATGCCATCTACCCACAAACACGTTTGATAAAGCAGAGCTTTCATTTTCCACACTCCTAAGCTGGTCAGGCGGAGATTTCGACACCAAGGCGTGTTGACATGAGCGATCAACACACAAACAATCTCACACGTACCTCATCGCTGATTTGGACGTACCCACTAAGCGTCGACACATCAAACGACCAAAAGCTTATATCAACATTGTTATCGGACAGAAGACCTTCGATCATGTCAGAGATTATGTAAAAAGAAATGATAAAGAACTATATAATCATAGGAGTGGCGCTCGTGGCTGTGTTTGCTGGTCATGCTCTCATTTCATAGGACAATAATCTGCGTCTCCTTCGCGGTTTTAACGGTAGATGATGGACCGAGTATAAGAGCCACTTACCGCCACCTACCGAGATGAGGCACAGTCTCATATGATCTAATATCAAGGTCCACCCAGTATCTTAAAGAAATTAATGCAACAGTAAAATTTGTTTTAAATCATATACACTCACATGAGTCATATCAGTGCCTTAAATGATTCAATTCGATTTTTTAAAACAATAAACATAAACACATCTGCAAAATCCAAATCTGAAATAAATATTTTTTATAAATAAATAAATATGAATAATTATTTGTTTAAACATCAATTACTTTAGATTACTCGAGCACAAAAGTACATTTTAGTCACAAATGCGGTTTGTTCGGAAAACAAGTAACAGATAACGCATTTGCGCCACCTAAAGGAATCAATCGACTCCGAATTATCATTTAAATTTCAGTCTACTTCGCGATAAGAAGATTCTGATGAAATATAAACTGAACCAATCTGGATATTTCAAATGTAGAGAGATGGCATAGAATCGATGTCATGCATTTGTCAAATGATTTTGATGGAGGACAGCGTCTTTCGCTTTAATTTACAGGCAGTTTTCATAGGCCTCCATTCTTTAATTAGGGCACATGTTTAATCACTCTTTGATTTCATTACTATTTCAAGCAACTGTCAAAACAGGTCATCCGTTGACGACAGCAGATCTGCTCTAGCTACACTGCTTTCTTTATGGTTTGTCCACATTTTGACCCCTTTGGACCTTATTAAATGATATATTACTGGAGGATATTCAAGTTGACTCAAATCACAGGCTTACACATTTTCTGCATTAAAACTGTTACACCCTTTGGTCTATTTGCTTACCTCCTGTTAGGAAAACAAAAGGAGACAGAGTATACCTTGATGCTGGGAATGGACGTCTGTGACATTTACATGCCTTGCTCGAATTTCTCAAATTGATCCATCTGCATCACATGAAAATTAGTAAAGTAACATTATCAATAAAATTCAGGACTGCTTTGCTGTGATTTGCATCATTTATTTCACATACAGGTGTTTCAGTAAAGTTTCTGAAGAACCAATTGTCCCCCAGTACACTTAAAAAAAAAAAGAAGAAACAAAAGACAACGACAAAAGAACATGACAGATTTTTTTTTTTAAACAAGCACAAACGACAAAACAAAAACCAATGACAAAACACAACTCATGTGGACATAAACTGATAAGTTCACTGGTAAACCCAAAGATATTGCCAGTTTCTGCTGACCGACTTGTGCCTGGCATGCCCATGATTCCTACTATAAACATTCAAGCCACAGGGCATATAGGAAACCTGTCTGATGCTAAGAACTGATTCTAACTAATAATAAGGAATAACGGCAATTATAAAAGGGGATCATAAGATTTATGAAAACATTAAAGTCAAATGGACTCTGTAAAATAAAATAACACTGAAATAATACATTGAAGAACATCTATTTAGATTAAAAAAGCAACACTCACTACTTTGCAAACAACTTTAGATATCATCACACAGAAACCATTTTAATCCATTTTCAAACGTATACAAGCAAACTGTGAGAGAAAAGACTATAGCAACCACGTTTGCAAACTCATCTTTCAATTTTAATAGCTAATCAAGGTTACTTCTTTAATATCAGCAGGCTTAATTCACCACGCTGCTGCATATCTGTGACCTCCCATCTTTTATTATTAGGTCGTGTCAGTAAACAATACTTTTATGCTTTTAATATGGAACCTGAAATGTATATACATATGCAATCTGAGACCCCAGAACACTTGAATGTGTTTGGTCACGTAAGTGGAGGATGATGAGGTTATGAGGTGGATAGGGAATTAGGGAGGATTGAGGAAGCTATTTAAAGCAACTGGAAAATATTATCGGCCGTCTGGAGTGATTCACTTTGATAAATTGATGTCAAGAGCTTAGTATCATTGATTATTATACAATAAAATACTCAAATCTAAAGCTGCTTATGTGTTTATTATATGTTGTGTTATTTTAAAAATCTATTCATCATTTTGCATACCGACAGATTTCACTCTGGCACAAAATGAAATCATCTTTTCTCATTCTGTGTAATTGTTTCAGAAGAACAAAAGCATACTGTAAGGTTTGAATGATTCATTAGCATAGTTTATTTGTGCCATTTTTGCTTGCCTTGCTCATATTTCTAGTTAAAAAACAAAACAAATCCAAAGATATTTCAGCACAAGTATGATTTGCAGCATCCCAATAAAGCCCCACCGCAGGCATGCACCATGGGACTAGCATGCAGAGCAGCGCAACGCGAGTCACTCCAGACGGCACCAGGCTCTCACTAGCTTCCTCCACAAACACCACCACAGATGTGCAGCATCTGAACTCTCCCGAGTTCTGTTACAGAGCTGTCTAGCAAAATGTTACCTTTACCGCCTTGCTTATTGAGAGAAAGAGACAGAAGAGTAGGGGAGAGAGATACTGGATAATGGTTTAAGATGTAACGCGTACAGGAATGTATAATGAAAGTTAATGAGTCTTCCTTAAAGAAAAGGCCAAAAGACTTTCATGGAATATTATTCTATGTACGAATGCCACTTATAATAATCACCTTTTTAATGAATGTCAACTAATGTATGAAATTACTAAGAAAGGTGTGAGATGATGCATGTGTTGCACGTTCACAGTATGTACAACTGAATGTGCATGCGCATGTGTTGTAGGGGATCATGGCTGTTTCCTGTGGGAGAATGGCAGGTCAGAGGTGAGAGAGGTCAGTGTCTAAGGGTCACAGTGAGCTAGAATGAGGTCAGACTCGGGGCAACTGCTTTTCAATGAATTCCTTCACAGCAGACATCTCCTGTAAAGCCAATCAGAGAGTAGTATGGGTGTTAGAACTAGCATGAACAAACAATATAGTTTCACTGTAACCACATCAAAGATAATATTTTGCATGATTTCAGTTCAGACCTCATCCTGTTATTAGTTCACATGGAGTGTCGTATATAGAACCGTTCTATAGTTCTTAGCAATAATTACAGTACACTGTCAGAAAAAAGGCATAAAAGTTGTCACTGGGGTGGTACCCTTTCAAATGATTCACCTTTGTACCTTATTTACCACTAAAGTATGGAACATAAGTACTTTTATTTAGCAAGGATGCATTCAATTGATTAAAAGACAATACATGATTAACAAATTAACAAATAAACTTGACTTGACAATACATGAGAAGACAATAACAATAAAGACATGCATAATGTTAAAAAGGATTTCCATTTCAAATTATGTCCTTTCAACATTCTAGTCATCAAAAATAATGAAAAAACATGTATCACGGTTTCCACAAGAAATGAAGCAGCATAACTGTTTTCAACATTCATAACAATAAGAAAAAAAAGTTTCTTAAGCACCTAATCAGCATATTAGAATGATTATCTGACACTAAAGACTTGAGTAACGGCTGCTAAAAATTCAGCTTTGCCATTACAGGAATACATTACATTTTAAAATATATTAAAATAGAAAACTGCTATTTCAATTGTAATAATATTTCACAATATTACTGTTTTTTAATCAAATAAATGCAGCCTTTGTGAACCTAAGAAACTTCTTTCAAAAACGTTACAAAGTAGTGTAGTAATACACAATAAAGAACTGCTATTCAAATGAAGACATATAGGTAGGTCTAAAAGGATTCTACAGATTTTTTTGTTTTTGAAGGAGAATCTGTGAAATTTGAACATGGTAAAACATGTTAAATGTAGGTTTCTGTGAGCGTAAAAGATGAGTCTCACCTGTGGACAGGAGCTATGCATGAGACCCGGGTAGGTGCGGAAGGTGACATTCTGAGGAGAAATTATGGTCTTGAGCTTCTCTGCGGTCATGGCCCCGAATTGCACCGGGATCATGGGATCCATCTCGCCATGACACTGCAGAATGGGAGTGTCCTTGTTTCCACTCCCACTTGCAGCCTAATGGATAAAAAAAAAAGCAGATCCATATTGATAGACATACCTATTTACATATATACATATTTATCCTCACACAATCTCACTGCTGACATCTTGTACCTGTGGGAAAGTCTTGTGAAGTGGAAGCCAACAACTAAGCCCAACAACACCCGCTAGATGCTGCTGAGAGGTCAGAGCGGTGTAGAGAGAGAGAGCTCCACCCTGAAGATCAGACATCAAGAGAGGAACTGAACCGCATCTGCAATGTCAGCCATTTGAGTAATAGTAGAAAATCTCAGGATGGATCACTTACCTGAGAGAAGCCACCAAGAATGATACGACTGGATGGTATACCATTCTTTACCTCGTGATCGATGATGGCCTTTACTATTGAAAAAAAGGAGTGGTCTATACTTAGTGCCACATAATCAAATTTCAACATATAACAACTAGGGCTGGGCGATATGGGCAAAAATTCATATCTCTGTATTTTTTGGTCGATTTGCGATAAACGGTATACATCTTGGTATTTTCGTTTTTGTATTTGTATTTTAAAAAATCTGTATTTAATTATATATTTCACTTACCGCCCAATGTTGTCCAACAAAACAATACATATTAAAGGCAATAAAAACAAAGTGAATGTAACCATGTAAGCCTTTATATTATGTGCAAAAAGGGTTAAAATCACATTTCATTCTAACATTGTAACATTGCAATCTAAAAACAAAAATAAGGCTTTTAAAGCGGAAGTTAAATTAACTAAACTTAAAATGAAAATAAATGAGAACAAAAGCACAGAGTTGTGTTAGGCTATTTTGATTACCCCATTACAGTCACTTTACACTACAGTCAGTGCGATCATAAAAATAGACTTATTTGTAGGTTTAAAATTCTACATGTCACATTTATTGTCCAACTACAAATATTTCAGCAAAATGTATATTTCAGACAGAATTACTGCGCTCCTATTTAATTGAGCTCTGTCAGTTCGAGCAGCGCTCATTCACTGAAGTCTGTGAAGTTTAGCGGAGAATCCCAAAGCAGAAGGCTCATGCTCATGCAAAAATGGAAATATTTCCATGGTTTTCTAACATTTACAGATGGAGACTATACCAGTGAAATGTAAGTTATGCATTCAGGAAGACAGCACATCTCAAAACACATCAAACAGCGCGAGTAGCCTAGTGTCTCTGTCAGCGGCACAAGCAGCCTTTCTGTCAGAGCATATGATGGGCCAAGCCGCTTAAACTAATATGTGAAACAAAACTATGTCTTCTAAAATTTTCCCATATTATATTATATTTAGGGCTGTCAGTTTAATGCGTTAACTTAATTAATTAGTTATAAAAAAATAACGCAATTAAAATATTTTAAAGCAATTAACATAAGGGCCCGCCTCCAGACCTGTACATCATCTTATATTTCATATAGTTGACTGTTGACAAATATGATGCAGGGCAACAAGTCCATAAATGCAGTTATGCCCTAAAATTCAAGATATTGGTACAAAAATGCCCCTGTATGTGTTTTTGTCTCATATTTATAATCATACGATATCACACAAGCAGGGAGAGCAGTAGGCTATTACACGAGTTCTGATTCTGTCCCAAATATCACGAGTTTAAATGTGATTTTATACAACAGTTCAGTAAATAAGAAGTTGATATTGTGTTATATTTTAAACACAATATTATGTGTTTTTGCTCAATTTTGCAAAGAATATATTACCTTTAAAGCCATAGCAGAATTGTTGTGCATCTCCGAGCAACACAGCGGTGTTTAGTTTCTGAATGAATCCGCGTTTTGAACGAATCGTGTGAATCAATGATTCAAAGGCCCATTCATAAAGAGAGCAGTTTACTTCATTCCTGAATTAATCAGCCGTTTGAATTAATCGAATGAAGACATTTACCACCACCAGTATAATTTAATTAATAATAATAATAATAATAATAATTAAAGGGATAGTTCACCCAAAAAAAATAAATTCTGTCATCATTTACTCACACAACCCTCATGTCATTTCAAACCTTTCTTTTGTGGAACATAAAGGAAGGTATTTTGAAGACTGTTGTTAACAAAGCTTGTTTTGGTTACCAATGACTTCCATTATATGAACAAACAATACTGAGATGTTTCTCAAATTATCTTCTATGTTCCATAGTTTACGTTAGGCTGTTGTAGCCTAAATTTTTGTGTGTAACAAATTTTTTTTTGTTGAATCCAATCAAATATTTCTAAAGCTACAATTTGTAATGTCTACTTGATACTTTCTCATTTAACACAAAAATATCTTTAAATAATATTTTTAATACCATTTATTTTGCGATTAATTAATCGGAACGTCATGTAATTAGATAAAAAATTGACAGCCCTAATTATATTAAATTATATTGTATTATAGTTCAAAAGAACAACATTTATTTTAAAAATATATTTTCTTTACGGTCACTTTTAATCAGTATAATGCATCTTTAGGTATTAATTTCTTTCAAAAATCTTACTGACTGAACAGCAGTGTATATTATATATTTATTATATATAAATCAGTATAACAATTTGAGTAACATGAAAGATGAAAATTAACATTAATTCCGAATGTCTTTTTAACCACACTTTTGCTTCAACCACAAATATGTAACATCTGACCATCTGTACAAAGAGCCACTTGATTTGATTAATGACCTAAAATAGTACAGAATCTGAAATACTTCTTCATTTTACATCATACATTTTCTTTGTTTTACATTTTTCAAAATCCTGAGCATTATTTATTCTCGGGTTTAAATTACATTTTCAATCCCCAGTGCACTTTTATGTAAATGTACTAGACTTTTAATGTTATCTGCAGCAGAGGAAACTTACCATGAGGGCATAGTCATCTTCATGTTGAGTGTTACAGGGATTCGGGGTCTAGAGTCAGAAAGTATGATCATTTATTCTTTGTAATAAATTACAAGGAAATCAAGTGATACTAAAATTTTTGTATTGCATAACAATAAACACATCAAGAAATATTTTGCGATTCACAGGCTTTCACTTACGCATGTGGGCAGATGTATTTGATGTATGGCAGTCGAATAGACGTCATGGTATCAGCCCAGCCATGTCTATAAAAAGTAACACAACAGGGTTATTTCTACACCAGGGCAGAGGGTATTAAAAGATCCCGCAACAGGCAGGTAATAAACAGAACGTACCCTGTGTCACCCAAGCCATGAAGGAAGATCACCTGCAAAGTTAACAATTAAATGTGAAACTTATCTCTGCAAAGCACCAAAGAGGCCAGATTTCCTGTTTGATGCTGGCTCTTGGTTATTTTATAAAAAGATACCATCTCAATAGCAAACTTGAGCTTTCTATTAATCTATTCACACTTTTCTTCCAATAAAGAAGAAGGCAGGCAGCCTATTTGAAGATTTGAACTGTAAACGAGAATTTGAAACTTTCTGTCATCATTTACTGACCCTCATGTCATTCCAAACCCAAAAGACTTTAGTTAATCTTTGAAACACAAATTAAGATCATTTTAAAGGGGTCATATGATGCGATTTCAAGTTTTCCTTTCTCTTTGGAGTGTTACAAGCTCTTGGTGCATAAAGAAGATCTGTAAAGTTGCAAAGACTAAAGTCTCAAATCCAAAGAGATATTCTTTATAAACGTTAAGACTTGTCCATGCCCTCCTAAAACGCCTTGTTTAAACACGCCCCTCCACATATCTACATCACTGTGTGGGAAGATTTGCATAACACCCCCCAAATGTTCACACAAAGAAAGAAGGCATAACTTTTATTCTCGCTGTAGTATTGTTGCCGCCACCGCCATGTCGTGAAGGCGCTGTGTTTGGCCTTCCAAAAGAGGACGATATCCGCTTCATCATGCCTGGAGCTGATCCGTGCTGGTTGCTGAGGAAAAACATCAACTTCGCTTTGTCAATCGCCGGATCAGCTTTCACCGTGGACGAAGCAGAGTCCAGCCCGGGGTCGTCACATGTGGTTGCCGCAAGCCTTCTTTGTCAAATCCACCGGGCGCCGCTTACTCAAGCCACTGTGTGTTTCGTTGTGAAAGCGAAACTACTTTGTTTGGCCTTCCAAAAGAGGACATAATGTTTCTATAAAGTGGGGCAGTTCCAACTTTGCAAGGACAGTCTGGCGCTTCTGACTCAAGTCAGTAAGTACGGTTTTTATATTTAAAGAATTTGCCACTGATGATTCAAACGCGAGTTTGAGCAGTGTAGAGTAGTGCTTATTGTTTGTCATTGCTCCGATCACAAATGCAGACATGGTTTTATGTTTACGCGGCGCAATACGCAACACAAAGAGTAAAAACACAGTACAAGTCCTTACAATCAGTAATTATGTCCCCACTGAATGCAACAAATGCCTCGTTTGTAATGGGTTTTATTGGTTTTGTCTCATCGCGCCGGACACATGGAAACCATAGAATGCATGATGGAAACACAGTATGGTAAGGGCGTAACATTTCTGTCACACGCTTGAGGTATTCGGCCAATCACAATGCACTGGATAGCTGGCCAATCAGAGCACACCTCGCTTTTCAGACCACTGAGCTTTGTAAAAATCGATGCGTTTCAGAAAGGCGGGGCATAGAGGAGAAACAATAATGTACATTATGTGGAAAATAATGTGTTTTTTTTTACCTTAAACCACATTACACTAAATAATGTTCTTTTTAGCAACATCATATGACCCCTTTAATGAAATCTGAGCGGTCTGTCCCGCTTTTAAAGTGTAGGTAACCAAAATTTAGAATATTCATAAAGGTCATAAAGGCATTGTAAAATGCTTTTCATTGAAAATTTTATTTAGGCTTTTATTCACATATAAACACACATACATAGAGCACATTACATATGATAAAACAGATTCCTGTGCATGTCATGCACAAGAACAAACCTCTTTAGTTTTTACGCAATGTGCAGCATTTTGAGCTTGTTTATAATATGTGATGTGATTCATTTGCAATGCCTTTACGACCTTCTTGGATCTTCGATCTTCAAGTCTTGGTTACGTGGACTTTCAATAGAAGGACAGAAACCTCTCAGATTTCATTAAATATACGTATATTAATTGGTGTTTTGAAAATGAACGATAGTTTTATTTACTCACAACACAAAGGTGAGTAAATGACTTTTCATCTTTGGGGGAACTATTCCTTTAAGGAAACTTAAAATAACTGACCTGTGTAATGCAAATGAAGAACTTGGAAAACTTTTGATTTTAGTTAATGATTCGACTGGTATCTTACCACAGCCGTTTCCTTCTCCGTCCCAGGCACTGTGACGGCTTCGGAGAGCAGGGGTACAGACATGTTGTTGCCACACATACAATGGGAGGAGTGCTTTTAGGAAAATACAACAACAAAATGTTCAAATGCAATCAGTACAACATGTTTACGCAAAATACAAAGGCCCAGGCAATAAGTACTGGACATATGGTTATTAAAGATACGAACCAGACGATTTTAGAAAGAAACTGTCAGCAGGCTGCAGAATGATTAACAAAAGTTGGTTTAATTACCAGTGTTATTAAAGTCCTTTCAACTAGCAATTCATGCCCATCTAAAACTAAAAGTGCTCTATTGCACCTGCAGAGCATCTAGACGTGAAAAAGAAACAGAACGTTGAAAGATAATGTAAAAATGACAGGGTGATTTAGCCTACTGGATAAGCGCTGATGCTTATGTTAATCATACAGATTCATTTTCCGCTGGTGACTGTGCGGACATCTGCTTAATACGAGTTCTCGGAAAACTGTTTCTGATGAAAACCACGAGTCCCTGTTTTCCTGGAACCACATGACAGCACTGAGAAATCGAATCTTTGACAGCTGCAGGAAGCAAAACACTCGTCTTTGAGTGGCCTGGTTGACCATATCACAAGTTTAAGCCCGGAGTGTTTCAACACTTGAATGAACTCCATGTGCCAGTCTTGGTTTTATGGGTCGGTCTGGCTTTCTGAACTTTAGTACTGCACATGTTATCAAATAATTCAATCAAATCATCTGCTACTGAGATCTCCACTAAATACCAGAAATATACACTTTTCAACTATAGTGCATAGTATCCTAATGCACCAGTACGCAATTCTTACACCATGACTTATACACATTAATGACTGTACTGATTATCTCTAATGCGACAGTGAAATAATCCTTCACATGTATCCTGCTATGAACACCACGATCATGTATTCAAGAAGAAAGGGATGGGCAGCGAAAACAATAGAGAAATCGGCGAAGCTTAGCTCTTTTTTTCCCCAACCTGGCGGAATCAAGGACAGGGTAACGTTACATGTATAAATAAAGCCGCTAGGTCGTTTCATTAATACTCGAGCGACATGATCGCAGTTAGGCAGCTTAATCCTGTTTCGTCTGTATGATTGTCACAATGAAACCACAGCCTCATAGATGGAGCTATCTGGATCTCGAATAATCCCACTATTGCGCTACTCAGCGACAAGCTAGCGCGTTTATAGCTAGCGAGAAAGCCAAGGTCAAGGGGTAGATTAAAATTTAGGGTTCAGGCAGGAAAAAAAGCAGATATAAACAGCGGCCCAATGCTACAAATGTATTGACTCACCGCTTGCTATCCCAGGTCACAACGGAACTTCCGCCTCTTCTGCCGGAGAGGGGTGGAGACACCGCGCTGTGATGTCATCGTATTTGTTCAATCGCGTGAGGGTCAGTGTAGCAAATGTGGAAGCGGATTTAAACATTTCAAGTCAGCAATCTGTAAATAGTATCTTATATTTTGTAAGCGTAAGGCTAAAACATGTCAAAATAAATTATTTTCTGAATTGTCACAATCAGAATAAAAGCTAATATATATAAAATGGGTTTGTTGTGATGGATGCTCAAAATGGTTCCATCTTCACTTCTGTTACAACATACATGTATTTGTTAAAAAACACATGAACTGAAATTGTAGCTCTAAGATGTGCACCACTATTTAAATAGTTGCAGAATAATAGAAGTTGTTATAAAATCAGTGATATGAAAAGGCAAAAGCGATTGAAATTAACCAGGAAATGTTCTTTAAAACTTTCTTTTTACACAAACTACACAAATCCATCAACGTTAGACACTTTTGAGGTCTCAATTAAACATTTTCTTAAATGGTTTTGAATGTCAGAGTTGACCCAAGCTAATAATAAAAAATAATAGTAAATGTAATAAAACTTTGTAAAACAGAATAACAACAAACTTCCCACACTTTAGAAATGTTTTTCTAAGGAACAGGCTTCTTGCAAGCCTCATCTGTTCTGTTAGTTGAAGGATACACTGTTTATTTGACGTAAGCATACATTAAGTAATTATGCTTATATAGCCTAAGGTTTATTGGCACATTAGCAGAACTGCAGATTAACAAACCCTTGTGAAGAAACCCCTGTTGAATACATCAAAGAACACACAGGTTCTCTCAGTTCATCATCTCACCGTTATCAAAACTCATGCACACTTTTATAGTTTCACACAGCACACGTGAGATTCTCGCTCCTCCATTTGTCATGATATGAACTGTGTCTGAGGTGTAATGTTCTCCACTTTGTGATCTGCTGGGTTGGCTGCTGCTTCATAGTTGCAGATTGTGACCTCATGCCTATGAGCCTGAAAGAGAGATAAAAAGATACCAGATGACGGTGACTGCAAAAATGCAGATGCTTCTGGATTTCTCAACTTATTTTTCTTTCCAAAGTAAAACAGATATTTATAAAAACAGTAACGTTAGCATAATATTTTCAGAATATGGCACATCTTCCACCATTTATTAATAATGATGATGGAAGTGTTGTTGTTATAGCATGATATATGTTTTATCCAGTACTGACCTCTGTGTACTCTCCCCGCAGACCAATGTAATACACATGAGTGGATTCTGCCCCAAAGTTTCGAGATATGTGGATTGATAAGTGCTGGACGTCCGAGAATCTTGCAATCCTATATAAAATATTGGGGGGTGGTCAACATAGATTTATAGTGTCCAACATACAGGATGTACTATGAATGTGCTTATGCACATGTTAACATTCTTAAAATTGCTTACTTGGTAGGATACTCAAGCTCAGCAAGCGGATCCCGGTTTAGACGAAACGCTTGCTCTGGCTCTCTGCTTGTATCATCAAATGACATTTGGGGGATGTTCTTGTACCTGCCCAAAAAATTACCCACTTGCAACACTCATTCATGTAAATTGTAATTGCATTATCCATATGTGATGCTACAAAATATATTTTTTTATTTTTTTTTTTTTTTTTTAACACCGTGAAAGCAAATTCACAATCTCATTTTAGCGGTGATGCAATGTGGATACTTCCACCATTTATTAATAATGATGATGGAAGTGTTGTTGTTATAGCATGATATATGTTTTATCCAGTACTGACCTCTGTGTACTCTCCCCGCAGACCAATGTAATACACATGAGTGGATTCTGCCCCAAAGTTTCGAGATATGTGGATTGATAAGTGCTGGACGTTGGAGAATCTTGCAATCCTATATAAAATATTGGGGGGTGGTCAACATAGATTTATAGTGTCCAACATACAGGATGTACTATGAATGTGCTTATGCACATGTTAACATTCTTAAAATTGCTTACTTGGTAGGATACTCAAGCTCAGCAAGCGGATCCCGGTTTAGACGAAACGCTTGCTCTGGCTCTCTGCTTGTATCATCAAATGACATTTGGGGGATGTTCTTGTACCTGCCCAAAAAATTACCCACTTGCAACACTCATTCATGTAAATTGTAATTGCATTATCCATATGTGATGCTACAAAATATTTTTTTTTTAACACAGTGAAAGCAAATTCACAATCTCATTTTAGCGGTGATGCAATGTGGATGCAAATATTTAATTGAATGCAAGCGCATAGTTCACCCAAAAATATTTGCTGAAAATTTACTCACCCTCAGGCTATCCAAGATGCATGTGAGTTTGTTTCTGATCTGATCAAAACGGCACCCATTCACTGCAGAGCATCCATTGGTGAGGAAGCGATGTAATGCAAAAAAAATGTCCAAATCTGTTCTGATGAAGAAACAAACTCATCTACATTTTGGATGGCCTGAGGGTGGGTACATTTTCGGCAAATTTTAATTTGTGTGTGAACTATTTCTTTAAAGCAAATTTTAAGTTATATAGATCTTTTATAAAGTTATTTTTATAAAACATGTTATTGCTTTATTTATATCTGTTAAACAAATGTACAACAATAGACAAAACTATTTTAAGTTTTGTAATATTTGGCCTTTTACACAATGTCCTTTTTAACAGTTTATCAATTATTAGCAATTGTTCAAACAAACTGCTTGGACACTCAAGCTCAGCAAGCAGATTCTCGTTCCCAGTTGCAACACTTATTCATGTAAACTGTAATTGCATTGTCCATATGTCACACAACAAAAGGTCACGATTTTTTTTCCCCCAGTGAGTGCAAACTCACAGTCTCATTTCAGCTGGGTGTGACTCATCATCTTCTCCAGAAATAATGATCCCTTTCAGCTTCACGCTACCTGTAAACCTGCAGATTTAATCATATGCACCAACTATATCCATTTCTATTGGAAAAGCACATAGTATTTAGGCCATTATAATAAACAGAAGATAATTAAGAACAGAAGAGAAACTGAAATGAGTGTGAGAGAACGGATGCTGCTCGCAACAAATCTTACGGTATATTGAACAGAAGCTCCTCGTCAGCATCGCTTTCAACAAACTGAAAATAAAACGGGGGACAAACATTAGAACAAACAGAACAAGATTCTAACAATCGAGCAATCAGTTTATTTAATTTCTCAAAAGACAACCGTCGTCTTTTACTTAGCAGAGTTCATACAAAGTAAAATAAACATGCATATATGCAATTAGGTATGCAAGTAAATACAGAAGTGTCTTAATTCGCAGTTTGACACATGACCATTTAACGTCTGTCACAACTCCTGCGGAACTAAGCCAGGTCAATTGGTACCTTCATCCGGTCAGTGCGTTGATCCCAAGGCTTGAACACCAGTTTACCGTCTCCGTCTCGGCTCTCATTCAAACACTGAAGCTTCTCGATATCAATGCGTTTGTACAGCTCATATTCCACTCCTCGCTCTGCTGGCTCGTGATCGCATTCACAGCAACCGTGACTGTGTCCACCGCCGTGGCCGTGACCGTGTCCAGACATGGCGTGAGCTTGCAGTTCGAGACCGGAAAAGTGCCGAAACACTCACAACTAAGCTTAATGGAGAGATATGTACGACAGCTCGAGCGGCTTCTGTCACATCTGCTAAAATCGCAGTTACACATGTGATAGAAGTGGGAAAGTAGACAACACACAAATACGGAACGTGATTGGACCACAAAAGCCAAGGGAACCAATGAGGAGCAGAGTTTGGAGTCGCGTTCTTGTGACGCATTAATGTCTCATTGGTCGCTCCGCGTCGCCGTAAATAATGTGGGTTTAGGACTGGGCTATAAACGATTAAATTAAATAAAGATTATGACAGTATTTACTCGGTCCAATGTTGTTCATTCTCCATTTTCTGTTTGATACAAAGATGAAATGTTTTGGCATAAGGTCAGTCCATTTTTAATGTATTTTGTGTTCCACTAATGAAAAGAAAGTCATACAGGTTTGGGACAACAAGAGATAAATAAATAAATGATGATACAATTTCCATTTTAGGAGATAGGATAGAGTGATAGTGAAAAGTTGAAAATGAAAACTTTAATTTTAATACCGAATCATAACCAACCCAATTCAGTACAAAATTAAAGTTAAATTCCCATAAATATATACATGGATAAATAAGAACAAGGTGAGAGCAACACATGGATTTTATTTTTAAAAAATGTCCATAGAACACTTCATAAAATCTATTAAAATGACTTGATCTTTCATTCATGGCAAGGTCCAGGACTGCCAGGTCCAAGATTTAAAATAAATATGATGGTGTGGAATTGTACAGTCCTTGAACTTTTTACATCTCATCTCATTCTCGCTCTCACTCTACAATAAAATCATACTTAGTCCCATGAAAATGCAATGAAATGTAAGCAATTAAACATATAACAGAGTCTGGGTTCTGGTGTCACATGGTAATCTGTAGTGTACCACTTGTTTTCTGTGTTTGTAAAAAGCTTACAACATGCTATGACAATTGAGCGTGGATGGTTGTTGATGCAGATATTTTCTGTGATTGCGTCCAGTGAACTGTACTGATAATATTAAAAAGCATAAAAAGATAAGAGGTGAGAGGGCATTGCACATTTTCTATGAAGCATTACAGCAAAAAAATGTTTCCTCTGTCATGTCGTTCTCTTGTCTATCACACACACAAAAACATGTTTCCCTTTACCGCCGGGAAAATCTGTTCTTGAATGCTTTGATAGTCTTAGCCATCATTGGGGCAACTTCTGAAAAAGAGTGAGCAGAAAAGTGGTGAAAAACATTCAAACAACCAGTTCAAGCAAATAAATGAACAAATTTTGGACATGATCAATATTAATGGTTAATATTCAATAGAAATTTCTATAAAATAAATGATTACAAGGAGTATATGTAGAGATAGTTGTAGATAAACATGTAACAGCAACAACATTTCCTCTTAAGACTCACTTTTGACCTGCGGTTTGTCTCTGGCACTGTGACCACCAGCACTGCTGGGAGCAGAGGGGCGTGAGGAGGACTCGGGTGGACTGCTAAAAGACGAATGACCACCATCACTGGACTTGCTATGAAAGCTGTAGTTTGTTGCTGGTCTGATCCTGTATATGAAGAATTAGCATCATATTTAAATGGAATTACAAAAAAGAAAATCCACCTCCGTTTACTTTTGAGAAACTCAGAAAGCAGATTGTCAGTAGAAACGTCATGATAAAGAGTCATCTACATGACTAATGACATCTGTGTGACTAATGCAGCATTCACTTACTTGGCAGATGGAGGAGCAGCGCTTGTGCTGGGAGAACCATTTTTAGTGCCAAACTTCACCTGTATACGGCGGACATCTCGAGGAGGCTTAGCGTCAGAGTAGACATACGCCATTTTAACCTGCCGCCCTGTTAAAAGTGATCAATATAGTGAAAGAGTTATCATTGTGAACACCGTTTACGGATTCCTCACCTACATTTTTTTTTTTGTTTTTTTCGCACTCACTGAGCTACAATGTTTTCTATGCAATACGTTTGATCTAAAAGTACTGATTACTGCCTGTAAGTACCTTTAGGTTTGTTTGCATGGGCAGAGGTGATGTTCTCCGTGAGCTTGCGCAGACGCTCTTCCCTTTCTTCATGGAGCCGGAGATACAGCTCCCTCCAAGATTCATACTCTTGTCGAGGTTCATGTTTAAAATCCCGCTGACAGTGTCTCATCCACAGATCATCGGACTCTTCTGTGAAATACTGAGTAGAGATGCTTGAAATTAAAGATTAGCCTAAAAATGAGCTCTAACTCACCATTCTAATGGGAAAATTTCAAACGCAGCGTTGATCTTGAAATAAGCATTATGACTGAATATATAAACTAATGTTCAAAAGTCTGGGGTGTGTACGTTTTTTTTTGTGTTTTTGAAAAAGTATCTTATGCTCATCAACCCTGCAATTATTTGATCAAAAATAGAGTAAAACAGAAATATTGTGAAATATTACAATTACGGTTTCAATATCTGTAAAAAAAATAAAAATAAATAATAATAAAATCTGAAAAGAATACAAAGACACAAGTAGTTCAGTAAGAGAACCAGATGAGAGATAAATAATTTGCACGTGACTGTGTTGACACGTACTGGATTACACTGCTCAATCCGATAAAGCTGCTCAGGAGTGCATCTCTCCAGAACCGGTTCCAGAATCTCGAACGGCACTCCACCCACTTCATCAATTGCTAAGAAAATACAAGAAATACCAGTAAAAAGCGGATTCATGTCAGGTGAATTTGTACTTAACACTTCTGCCAGCCTGAACCATCATGGCATTCTTTACAGTTGTGATTTCAACATAGCAATTTAAAGTGCTGTCACTAGGCACGTTTCCACTACAGATTTGCGCAAAACTTTAAAAAAAAACTGAAAAGCGCATACCTTTGCGTCTCTGGGGGGAAAGTGGTGTAAGATCAATGGAGGGCAGTGGTCTGTAGTTGGGCTGGATAGCTGGCAAAGGGATATCAGGCAGAGTGGGAACCACATCCACTACCTGGAGAAATAATAATTAGAAATCCTTCGACACATGGACAAAGGCTGGTTTCCCATCACCTCGCCTGAGAAACATGTTCAGCCTCACCTTCCTGCGTTTCTGTGGAACAACAGACGTGGTCTTTGAGGAAGAGGATGGCTTTGAGTGTTTACTACTGGTCCCATTGGCTTTGCCAGACTTAGAGGAAGCAGAGGGAAGCAAGACAGGAGGCTGAGGGGGTCGCGTGGACTGCTTTTTTTTCTTTTTGCTTGGGGTCGGAGCATCATATGTGAGAAAGGATTCGAAAGACATAGTTGGAGCTTCATATGGCTCCTCATCCACTGGCTCTGGAACGTCCCTCCGCTCCCTTGATTTTCCTTACAGACAAAAGCAGGTCCAACTAAAACCTTATACTTAGAACAACTCAGTTTTAAAGGGATCATATGATGTTGCTAAAAAGAACATTATTTTGTGTATTGAAATGTATTTATGCGGTTTAAGGTTAAAAAAAAAAAACATTTTCCACATACTGTACATTATTGTTTCTCCTCTATGCCCCGCCTTTCTGAAACGCGTTGATTTTTACAAAGCTCATCGGTCTGAAAAGCGAGGTGTGCTCTGATTGGCCAGCTATCCAGTGCGTTATGATTGGCTGAATACCTCAAGCGTGTGATGGAAATGTTACGCCCCTACCATATTGTGATGCCCTGTCCGGCCGGAGCGACGACACAAAAACATTAAAACCCATTATAAACGAGGCATTTGTTGCATCCAGTGGGGACAAAATTATGGATTAAAATGACTTATACCGTCTTTTTACACGTTGCATCACGCCGCGTAAACATAAAACCATGTCTGCATTTGTGATCGGAGAAATTACAGGAACAGTTGGCGGACTTGAGTGAGCGGCGGCGGGCGGGCGGGCTTGAGATCGGCGCGGCCGGCGGATTCGACGAAGGGGCTTGCGGCAACCACATGTGATGACCCCGGGCTGG